TGGAATTAGCCACGTGTCAAAGACATCAGCTGTAAGTTTTTCAGCTTGATTTCTGCATTCTTAATCTGTGACCTAAGCGTGAACACTAAGGGGCCCTTATCAAAATACAGGTTTGATTTTTCCTGCTTTTTGCTGTGTCTGTGGTATGTACTTTATCTCCCATTAGTGCTTCTTTAGTGAACAGTTTGGTGTAGCAAGCTGTAGTGTCCCTTTGTAACTGAAACCCACGGGAAGTGCAGCCTTCCCCTCACAGAGGTCGTAGCTGACATGAGCAGCCGTTTGATGCTGACTCCTGGTAGCACATGGACAACACTCCCCATGTTTTCAGGATTTGGATGTTACAATCCAGTGCACAGTTGCTTTACGAATCTTCTTTTATTGCCTAACCCTGTTGGCCACTACAGCCAGGATCAGCAGGTTGCTTGGCTTGCCTAGATTAAACTCTTGAGACAGAGCATTTTGCAATTATGCCCCTCAGCTACAACTCTCTGCCATTCCCAGCCTGTGTTATTTAAACCAAGGCTGTTTCTTATGTCCTTTAATTTCCTGTACCAATGCCAGCTTACAGTGGTGATTACAGCCTGATAGATAGGTAGGTAGGCTGCTGCTTTTAACTTTTCTGAATCAATGACACTAATTTTATTGTGATCAATTGAATAGCATCCTGTGACGCTCCTGTGGAGGATGGTATATTTATGTAGCTTGTTGTTGCTGCCCATCCCTGTGCATCAGAGGAGAGTACAATCCTCTGAAATGCTTCCCTGAGGTGAAAGAAACTAAAGGGTTTGCTGAAAAATCCAAAGGGGTAGGCTTAATATTCTACATCTAAGATAAATGTAGTAAAATCTTAAGACTCCTTAAAAAAATCCTCAGAGGAAATGGTGTCAGTTGCAGAATAATATTCTCACGTGAGAGCCTTACACCTCAATTTCTGTAGTGTTTTTCTGGGAAGCAGTATTTTGTTTTCCTCTCAGTGTTTTTAACACATTCCCATACCCTGTGGGTTATCGCTTCTGTTGGCTACAAAAGAGGGTGAGCATGAATGAGGAGTTGACAACTGGGATATTCTGTCTCAAGTGCCCAGTTGCCGTAAGAAGGATGTAAACTAACATCAACAGCATTTTTGAGCTGGGGTTCATGCTTTTTGTGCTGCAGCAGCTTGTTTGAATGCTCTTAAAACTGAACATAATATTAGAGAAGCATTTTGTCCTGGTTTCAGCTGGGATAGAGTTAATTTTCTTCCTAGTAGCTGGTGCAGTGCTGTGTTTTGGATTTAGGATGAGAATGATGTTGATAACACACTGGTGTTTTCAGTTGTTGCTAAGTAGTGTTTCTGCTAAGTGAAAGACTTTTCAGCTTCTCATGCTCTGCCAGCAAGGAGGCTGGGGGGGCACAAGAAGCTGGGAGGGGACACAACTGGGACAGCTGACCCCAACTGGGCAAAGGGATATTCCATATCATAGGAAGTTGTGCTCAGTATATAAACTGTGGGGAAAACTGGCCAGGGGGGCACTGCTTGGGAATTGGCTGGGCACTGATCAGCAAAAGGTGATTGTGCATCACTTGTATCTTCTAATTATTTTATTATTCTCATTATTATTACCATCTTTATTATTTTGTTCCTTTTCTGTGCTATTAAACTCTGTTTATGTCAATCCGTGAGATTTCTTACTGTTACTCTTCCAATTCTCTCCCCCATCCCACTGGGGCAGGGTTGAGTGAGAAGCTGTGTGGGGCTTAGTCCCCATCTGGGGTTAAACCATGACATGTGTACACTCACTGTGGAGTCAGACAGATCTTTGCACACCAGCAGTCTACTGTGAGTGGAAAGGTCTTTTAAGACATGTAAAGACAGAATGAAAAAATGCTAATTGTATCATGAGCAGAAAGTATTAATCTGAGCCACCATTGTTCACTTTCCCAGTCAGAAGGATTGCATCTCCATGTCCTAGGGCTTTATAAACAGTTGTGCTAAAGTGCTTTGAGCAGTTGCTCAAATATTCTTCTGCATCAAAACAGTTTCCCTAAAAAGCAACATTGGCATTGAACCTAAGAGTGACTTTGTAGCCTCTAATCTGCGCCAAGAGGTTCCTGTGAAAATACAACTGCAATGTTCATAATATCCACCTTCCTTCAGACTTTGCTGTTCAAAATGGTGAAGAAATTTTTAGAAGAAATTCTCTCTTTCGTTAATATTAATGGCAAAATTTCCATTTTGCCTAAGGTTTTAGGCAACTTATGCTAGATGAAGCCTAATTTCCAAATGACTGCCCTGCTGAGGTTTAGGTTCACCAGTAAAGTAACCACCATCAAGTTTCTCACAGCTGTATTCAGATGTTTTAACCATTAATAATAACATTAAAATATGAGTGATGAGTCCAGTTCAGTGGAGCCACTTGGGATTGGCCTTTTGTGGGAGACTAAGGAAAGGGCTGTCACCTCTGGACATGATCACTGAGCTTCCAGGCAAGCACAGTCTGTGAGTGAAATCCTTTTCTCATGGCAAAGAGAACAAACCTTACAAAAATTTTCATGTCCTGTATAGACACGATGTCTTAGCGCAAACAAGCGAGAAGGGTTTCCTTCTTGAGAGCCCAGAGAATCCATTTCCCAGAGCTCTTGAACAGTGTGAGCAGCACGTCATGGGCAATGAAGGCTGTTTTCAGCAGCAGATCAGAGGCAGGAATCTCATGTGTCTACAGCAGAGAGTGACAGCAGATGATGCCTTTGGGAGAGAGGAGATTTATTGAAAAGGCTGCCTCAAAAAAGGACATGGGTGTACAAGAGAGATTCAGTGTGCATCTGCATATTTTATGCAGAAAAAGCTGACATTTCTGCATTTTATTATCTTCTAACTCAGTAATGTTACTGTAATTTTTATTCAAATGTAGCTTTTATTGGGAAACAATAGGCAGTCAATGTAGGAAAGATCTAGAAGGAGGCATTTCCAGACTGGCAGGGAAAAAATTAGAATTGACTCTCTTTTTCTTTCTTTGTGAGATACAACTGTTATTATCTAAATTCTCAACTGAGATAAGCTAACTTGGCTCTACCTAAGGTGACAGAATCACTTATTATACTCTCACTTGCGTGTTACATTTAATTCACTAAACATCAGCTGTTCATTTTTTATTGCTTATTCTGAAAACTGCTGTAAACAAGGATCTGCACACACTTTGCAGTGCTTCAGCACTCCTTTTATCAGTGTTCAAAGCAAATTTACTTTAAAATTTGTGCTTGACTACTGATGTTAAATTAAGATTATTAAAGTGTTGTTGAATGTCTAATATTTGTGGCAGACACCATAGATTTGTGTAACTACAGAATCTATAGCAATGTATTCTCATCTCAACATGTAATACAAGGTTGCTATCCTGTGCTGTAAAAAATTTAAATTATATCAGAATCAAATTTGTATTTTTTAAAGAAAAAGAACACTGATTTTCACACTGAGACACACTTTGCTTTCTCAGGGATCCTTTTTTTTTTTTTTTGGTGGCATTTTAAAAATTGCTTTGTATTATTTGTGTTGCTGCTTTGCATTTAAAATTGTGACAATATTCTACTTTGGTAAAAAATGCCAGTGATTGAGAAGCTCTAGATGGTTTTGCCAGGAGAAAATAAAGGTAAAAGCTGTACACATTGGACACACTCTACATGACTGGTGACATGTATAAGATGGTTGGATGTTACCATAATCACACTGCATGAAGGCAGTTTAGAAAACCTTGATTCCCCCATCCAACAGGAAGAACATCATGCCAGGACAGAGGGTATTGCTCTGGTCTCATGACACTGCCTGGAAGTTGGTGCCTCTCAATGTCTCTGGTCTCTGACAAAGTGCTTTCACAATCCCTCTTGTTCCAACCATCCCTATTTGTGTCAGCTGGAATTTTCACCAAATTGTACCAGGTTCATCTCTAGCTGAAGGATAAGGAGAACATACTGTACGTTCTGCTGAGATCTGCTTCTCCAGATAATTAGATGCTGCCCACCTAACGAATTCCCAAATACCACAGGGCTCCAGTACACTGGCAACACCCTTGATCCAATAATCACTTCTTAGGATACAGAAGTAATCCTTTGCATATTGCTCCATGTCTTCAGTTTCTGATGGGTCATATTTTGTGTTTGGAGAGCAGGTGTGGGGTTTTGACTAATTGTATTGCACAGCTGTGGGGGAGAGGATGGCACATCGACCTGGGATCTCTTCTACCTTGTGTTTCACTTGATGATGCAGTTCAGTACTTACACAGCATCACTGAGAGCAGTCTTTATCTCTTCTGGCATATGGGGCTAGAAAATTACTTGTAAAGAGCCTCCAAGGTTAATGAGAGCCAGTGAAATTCATGCTATCTTCATGCAATTTAATGCAGTAATCTGCAAGACACACAAGGAACGCTTTTTGCTGGCAGAAATAGAAAAAATGTCATGACCCCAGACTGCGGTGGTGAGTGGAACAAAAGGGCTGGGTTTCTTAGATTAAAGATTTAATCCTTGCAGGGGGGTGAGCATAAGGTCAGACACAGTAAGCAATTGGGAAGGTGCTCAGATAGCACACGCTGGTGTTTCCAGCCTGTGTCAGACTACATAACCAGAAAAGCAGGTTCACCATCACAGTATTACCTGCAACTGTAACAGGAGACACCAAGTATATGATTCTTAGAAATAAGTGCCAAGAGAAACCATAGTTAAACACTTAACTCCTGCTTCGGTACCTAATTCCATTCTATTCCAAATATGTGCTAGATGCTCATTTCTCATTGCAGCTTATATTATGGTTACAGTTTATCCTTTCCAAGGAAAAAGAAGATTGCAAAGATCTTTGGTATTGAGAAGTAGCATCCACCTGTTTCCTGTGTTTTTATCCAGTGGAGGAATTTACCACCTGTGATGTGTGCTCTTAATCAAGGGCATTCTGTGCATTTCCCTGGAAATCAGTTTCTCCATGTTGAAGCCACCTAAGATGTATTTCATAGATTGTATTTCACTTTTTGCAGCTCATGCCCTGAGGGGTACATATGTCTGAAGGCTGGGGAAAATCCTGACCATGGTTACACAAGCTTTGACACTTTTGGCTGGGCCTTTCTCTCTTTGTTCCGTCTTATGACTCAAGATTGTTGGGAGCGTCTTTACCAACAGGTATGATATTATTTTATTGCTGTTAAAAATTATAAATAAATACACCATCTTTTACAGTTACATTAATAATTAAAGACAAGGCAGAATTGCTGGTTATTAAGTAAACTGTGCTCTTTGTGTGTGTTCTGGAGAAGGACCTTCAACTGTTACAATTAATTTATTTTCTTAAGAGTGATAATATCAAAAGACATTAGACTGCATGTTTGGGGAAGTTGGGGAAAAGTGGTACTGAGAGAAAGACACTTTGAATGACTAATTCACCTGAGTCTAAGTGAAGTTCACCTCTTGAGAAAGATCACCACGTCACCACTTGATGATTTTTTTGATGGATGGTGTAACACAAACTAATCTTTTGAGTCCAGCTCAAAAAAGGGCTAGAAAAGCACCTGTGTGCTTGGCATAACTGGTTTTTCAAGGCACGGTAATGAACACAAAATCAGCAAATGGCAAGACTACCTGGTACACATCAGTTCTCTCTGCTGCAAGCTCTTCATCATGGAGAGACAGAGGCATGAATGGGGTCAGACTCAACCTACACTCACTTTGGAAGGTAACCTGCGAGTATATGCTCATTTTAGCACTCATTTCCTGGAATGTATGCGAACTCTGAAGAACTAAATATCACAGTTTGGCACAGAATGACATACTCTGTCCATGTTGCCACTGAAGATTTACTGCCTCATCTCAAAATCGCCCAAACTGGAAAACGGTCATAAGGAAATCAAGAGACAGTGCTGACAGAACTACTCTGAAAGTACTGAGATAGACATCGTTGAAGATTTTGGGGACTTCAGCTTCACACAGAGCCAGTTATAGAATTTCACTTCAGGGAAATGTAGAACAATTAAAATGAAGATTCTTTAAACAACCGTATTCACTTGACACAGAGCTGCGTGTACAACTCTGGGAGACAGAAACTGTCAGGGCAAATAAGGATGAACATCTCTCCCTTTTATTATTTGACCTTATAATATCAAACAGTGTTTTCTATCAGTAATATCAAGTCACTGACCATGGGACATATCTGTTACATATCTGTTACATACAAGCTTGGCCTGTTCCCCTAAACTCCAGTTATCCTAATAAATACGGTGAAGAACCAGGGAATACAATCAATGGAGCCCAAGGTTTGGTTCCTCTTATCCTGAGGCAGATGTCTAAATAATGTTCAGATGAGTTGCACCCTAAAAATATGTTTTTCTCCCCACTAACTGTGAAGGACCCAGAGTGTAGGCATCTGAAGGGATACAACATGAGTCCCACTTGGATGGTTTCTAAACACTGGTCAAAAACAGATTGAGCTGTGTGTAGGAATTTTTCACTGCAACTGATTGTAAGATTATCTATTCTAAAAGAAAACCAGCAGAGATATTTGGTAAAGGAGGGAAGCATTCTTCTTTTAGAAATTAATTCACTGCAAGGCACATAATTTTTGACCAAGATATAAATATTTATCAGTGAGAAGATTATTTCCTTGGATGTGGTTGTCATTTCTCATCAAAGGGTTTCTGCTTGAGCTATTAACAAAGGCTAGATTCAATTATATTGTAAATCTAAGAGTTTAAAAAAAATGTATTTAAAAAATAATGTTTTTTCTTTTAAGAAAGCACTTTTTTCTTTTAAAAAGCATTGTAAACAAATGATTAATGATTTTACTTCTGTGCTTACAGACTCTCAGATCTGCTGGGAAGATCTACATGCTTTTTTTTATGCTGGTCATCTTTCTGGGTTCATTTTATCTGGTCAACCTGATTCTGGCTGTTGTGGCCATGGCATATGAAGAGCAGAACCAAGCCACTATTGCTGAAACAGAAGAGAAGGAAAGAAAGTTTCGAGAAGCCATGGAGATGTTAAAGAAGGAGCAGGAGGTCAGTGAACTATGTGACATGATTAGCCTTGGGTAACTTGAGCAGATGGTAACTTGAGATTCACGTTCTCTTTATTTTACATTTATCTGATAACCAAAGTAAGATGCTGCTTTTGCCTGAAAGCAGCTTAATGTTTATTGTACTGGACAGAGTTATTACTGTTTCTATGAAAGCAAAATGAGGGTTCTCCCTGTTAAGACTGAGGCCATTAAAGGCTTACATATCCGGAGTTGTACTGATTTAACTATACTATATATGCCGGCAGAGAAATTTATATTGGGTGGCATGTAAGATGTTTTAATGATGGTGAAACTACATGGGCATTTGAGCATAAACCAGCTGTTTTGGTAGCTCAGCCATAGCACCAGATGAACTTTCTTCCACCACCACTTTAGCACAACTTCATTTCCTGACTCGTTCAACCTGCCAATTGTTTGATAATGAAAATAAAGATGTAGGATAACCTCTTTGAATTACCTACAATTTAATTCCTGAAAAAGTAAACAGGCAAAGCTTGAGGTTCAGCTTTGAAAATTATGCAGAGGGTGTGGATTTAATGTTATGTCGTAAGTTTAAACAAGCCAGGGAGGCCAAATGGTGGATGTAGCCTTATAGCCTTAATAACACTACTTAATTTTCATGTGGTTTGTGTAGGGTAGAAAGCCCTTATTAAACAGCGGAAGAGAACATTTTAGGTGCTGTGAACCAGAAGACAATAAGAAAATTAGTCTGAAATAACACGTAGCACTGTAGCACAGAGAAATAAAACCCTGATACACAATATAAACTAATATACATAATTTTCTTTTGAGTACATATGGTTTCAGGGCCTAATCCAAAGCCCATTTAAATCCTCAGAAAGAAAATGCAATTCTCTCTTGACAAAGTGCTACTAGAGGCTTATGCATCATTTAAGTCCTTTTAAATATCCTCTTTGATAGTTTAAGTAATAGGTAAATGCAATTTAGTCCATGTACAGGCACTTTGAACAGAATAACTCTCTGCCATAACCTAAGGGAGCAAACTGAGCTCCAACTCACACTTATTTTATACAATTTTTCATGTGTTTTGACTCCAGCTGAGCTCTTCCTCATAACAGTCAACTTTGGTAGCCCCAACTATAATTAAAGATATTTAAGAATTTCCTTTTGAAGGCTTTGATTTCAGTTAAGCCTGTATGTACACAAAAAAAGGAACATTAAGCCCCGAAAGTTGGAATGTGGCAAAAAAAAGCTTGCTCCTGAAAACCTAAATTGTTCCCATTTGTTTATCTGGTTTATAATATAGCCTCTTCTTCAGCCAGCCATTTCTCATTTTTCCTGTGCCCTGTTCAGTACAAAGGGTGGACAGTGCATGACTCAAGAGCAGCTCTTTGCTTTCTCATCATTTGTTCTGTTGCCTTAGGCCACCTCGAGCAGACTTCCCAACTTAGGCAGTCAAAGCCTGCTTCGAAGAGGAAGTGACTAACATCATCAGAGGTTTTTCAGTGCCTCTTGTCACTGCTCAGACTCCATGTGCTTCAAAAATACTCACTTTTATTTGTAATACTCCTGCAATATTGTCCTCATTTTATGGAAAGGAAATTTAAGAGTAGAGTGATTTGGATCTGCCATGTTCACTAATGAAGTCTAGTAAATCTGCAAATCAGCTCTTGACATCTCAAGTTAGACATTTTGAAGAAGAGGCTTAGGAAAGTGAATTGAGTGGCTGCACCATGGAGCTTTCAGGAGTCCTTCTCAGATGTCTCACCCCAGTCAAAGCTGCTCAGTTTTAGTCTTGTTCTCCAAACCTTGAGCAAGATCTTGGTTTTGACTTTCTTACTGTACTACTAAGTTCCTGCCTCAAGAACTGTCTCTTGCATAATCCCCATGTCTTGGGCTCATGTGAACTAAGCTTTCCTCCCATCCTTCAGACATTATATGTCCTTGCCAGACATGCCTGGTCCCACACACCTTTCCTGCTCCTTGAGCTGTTACAGTGGGTTATTGCTTGTAGTGCCTGAGGGACAGGACATGGTCCAGGCACAGGAACCCAAGCAGAAAGGGTGGATAGGCAGGACATGGGCACATCCTCAAGACCAGGCTGGATGGAGCACTGGGTAAACTGGTCTAGTGGAAGGTGTCTCTGCCTGTGGCAGGCTGTTGAACGAGATGATCTCTAAGGTCCCTTGCAACCCAAACAGAACTATGATTCTATGATCCTCCATTCCCTGAGGAATAATTCAGTCTGAATCCTTTTTCCAATAACTGAGAGAGGTGCACAGCGCAGAAGCAATTCCATATAAGCAAAAGGTAAGAAAATGCTAAGAAACAGAAAATTAGCTTATTTTGCAGTATGAGTACAGCATGCTTACTAGCACAACCTGCAATATTTTCTAGATCGACAAAATATGACAGCAATCAGAAAGAAAAACCAAAACTCTTTAGACCAGCTTTTACACTGTACAGTATAAAGAGACTAGAAATATAATTGATAGACCTGCTTGGGGGCTATCAGTCAATTTATACAATTGGTTTAACACATTCCTAAATCTGAGCTTAACACCAAAATGCTTAACACCAAAAGACTTGCTGAATCTTTATGAAGAGGAAGCACTTCAGCATAGCAATTAAATTGACTCCAAAAAAAACCCCCAAAAAACCCAGCCTAGACCAGTGTCTGAACCCTCCTCCTCTCTGCTCTAAGCAGCCTTGCTTATGAAAGATATTTCCCACAGGAATTAAGTTTTGTTGTGCTCTCAGCTTGATAGAGCTACAGCTACTCCTTGAAATACATGATTGATTCTTTACACGGCTGTTAAGTGCCTTCACTTTCCTTGGACTGATGCCTGTGGGAGGAAGGGAGTATTTTGCAGCGGAGAGATGATTGCCTGTTTGATTCTAGTGGCTTACAGACAATAGCACTGAGGATTCATCCGTTCCTCCTGTTCTGGGCAAACTGGAGAGGCTTTTTTTAATAATTCACTCTCTTTAGGCATCTCAGCTGGGGGCTTTGCAAACGGGCTTGTCTCCAGGCCACTGATGTGGCTACCACTGATTTCTCCGGCACCTCCAAACCTGACCTGGTGCTTTGTACTCAGAGCCCCCTCTGCCCACTCCTCCCGCCTGCACCCGGGACGGGGACCCAGCGCGTTGGTGTGAGCTCTGGCTTTCTCCCTGCTCCTATCGATCCTTCCTCCGGGATGCTCCTTTGCTCCCAAGGCTGCGTCTTTGTGCGCTCAGGGTCTCACACTCGGCTTCTGCCGGGTTTGTAGCTGTGGGTGTGTTATCATCCTCCTCCTGCAGCGATCCGGACAGGCAGCCGGCACAGCTGCGGGAGCACAGGGCAAAGCAAAGTCCACCTTATCTCCAGTTAAGCCCATGGTTTTCTCTTTGCATCTCTGATCACAGCTGCCTGTGCTGCTGCTCGGGATAAGTGTTTACAGAAACGTGCCAGCCGAATTGCCTGCTGTTCCAAGCATCCCTCTGTGATAGCGGGGGAAAAATCCCAGCTTGGATTTTTCCCTCCTACCCAGCCCTCCCACTTCAAGGGGCAGGAGTCCCAGGGGGACTTTATTCAGAGGTTCCCCAGCCTGAGGGTTTTTTTTGCCTGGCATCAGAAATGTTACTCCGGAGATGTGTGCACACAGGCTGTTCCTTCATGGAGTGTCAAAGGGTCTCTTGTGTGAGCTCTACATAGCCAACATTATTTTGTGCATGCATTCCTAATGCTCCACCACAGGATCCAGGAGGCAGACCTGGATGCGTGCATTTGTACTAGGAACCTGTCTCACTTGTTGTTTATTTTCCAGTGGCTAAATGTAGAGGTAAGAAACAGGTGAAGAGTGGTTCCAGCCACGTGAGACAGTTTTATGATTAATGATCTCCTGAAACTTTTAACGTATCTCCCATACGACCTGAAAATTTAAAATAAAAAATAATTGCTGAGGAGTGTAAGTAGTAATTTCTCACTGAAATCCTTAAATAATAATTTTTATGCCTTCTACCATCTTCTGATTTAGGCGCTCGCTGCTAAAGGAATTGATTCAATGTCACTTAGTTCATTGGAAATGTCACCCAAAAGTGGGAAAGAAAGAAGAAATAAGCGAAAGAAAAAGAAATCTTTGGGGACAGATGAGTATGTGGAAGACCAAAGGAATCCCAACTGTGATTACGACGATGGTCAGAGGAGGATGGTAAGCCATGGTCTGAAACATCATTTATTCTACACTTTCCTGGACAGGCCAGGCTCTGAACAGGCAGTTAAAGCTGAAACCTTCAGAAGAATCAGATATTTAATATCATGACTGATATCAACACAGCAAATACTGCAGACAGGCTGTGTTAGAACAGTGGAAGAATATGTATTGCCACTTTATTTTCAAAATTAATTAAAAATGCCCATTAAACATTTTTCCAAACGTTTTTTTCAATTTTTTTTCTTTTATTTTCTTTTGGCTTCAATATTGCCCACAGTCTGGTTTATTTTCTCACTTCAATTTCATTCATCTGATTATATTTATCCTATCCCTACTAGAGATGAAAAATTCTTAGAAGAAACCTGCAAAGCTTAAAAAGAAAAGAGAGGAGGAGAAAAAGAGGAAAGTTGTCTCTGAGGGCTTTTAAAATACTGTACAAAGACATTATTAACATTTTTATATTCCTTTGCTAGTTGCCTTCAAGTCAAAACTTTGTGGCACTTGTTTCTACTTTCTATTGTAGGGAAGAAAAACAGCGAGACTGTTGTTAAATAGGGTTTTATGTAAATGTTCCTGACATGCATGAATATGAATCTGCACATGCTGTATGTATCAAATGATCATAAATAGCTCCAGATAATTTGTCTTTGTTTGACTGAGGGCAAAGTTTAAATGAGTTTGTTTTGTTTTTTGAATAGCCATGTAATGGGCTAAGTCTTTTTATATTTTTTTTTGTCAGTGAATTTAGGAATACTTGGCAGCCATAAAAAGCTCATAGAAAACATGTGAGTGATGTAAGTAAACGTGACCAATTAATGACTCCCCAGCTCACAAAATTTACCCAGAGCTGGATTTCTGTTAATGACATGCATTTTTTAATCTAGTATTTTCTGTTATTGTCTCATTGGTCGAGAGGGTCGTGTAACAAATTACACATTTGGTAAAGCTAGGACTGCACTTTTAGCTTCATTCTGGGTGGGGTTTCAAGACACCACGTGCCAGAATGACCATGGATTGGAGCTGTGCATTGCCAGTTTTATTTCTTAGATTAATATTTCCTGTTTTCACTTTTCCCCCCTGGATGTCATATGCATGAGAAGCATGGGAGACACATTTCAAAGCTTATAGTAAATCTTCTCTGCAAGGCTGTGTCTGGCATGGTTGGAGGGAATAAGGCTGAGTCATCATTCAGATGCTATCTGAGCAGCTGGAAGTGTGTTGCCATCAGAAATCAGTCTCAACGACTGTGCCATCGAAACCCAGGCATGGATTTTTGACCAGTTAAAATTTGGTAGCAGTCAAAATGGGTTGTTTTTAGTTAGAAGGGGCCTGGGTTTTGTACTCCTACTTGTACCAGTGTCATTAAATGGCATCATTATGTAACTCAGTGGTGTAAGCTACAGCACAAAATTAAATCAGGCTTCATTTGGTTTGTCTGGTTTCTGTGTGCTGTGGTGATCTGACCTCTCTTCGTATGTACTTGGCTCATGGGAAAGTTCTGAAGAACCTGAAAATTCCGTACAGGCCATAAAATCAAAAATATATTCTGCCTAAAATCTCTTACTCAAATAATTTCCTCTTCAGATAAGTGGGAAGGGGATAGACTTGAATTCCTTACACATTTTCCGAACATCCTTTTTACTCTGGCAGATTTTAGGTGTGTTTAGTCCTTGGCTACATCTTGCTGGTGCTCTGGCAGAGTTGCAGTCTCACTAACTGACGTCAGAGTGGATCATCAAGGCTGATATTTGAGTGAGGGAGACTGCTGTGTACTGAGGTTACCTATCCCTTAAGCAGCCATGTGCATTGAGATAATCATTTTACAAACTAATAAACCATATCCCTCTTCTTGCTCTTGGTTTGTTTAGTTTTTTTTTCTTTTATCACCTTCTTCCGTCGTATTCTGATTCTTCTTCTTCCCTCTTCTTCTCATTTTCCCTGCAGTTCATTTCCTGCCCTATTTCTTTATCTCTTCTTCTCCCACTGCACTGTTCCTTCCCTAGCTGTTATGAAGATGTGTAACTATGCAGTAGATTGGAGCTGGATCCCCTTCCCTGCTCCTGTCTTCCACTCCTTGTGCTGCCTTCCCGGGTCCTTTGGCACTTATCATTTTGGGGAGAGTAGATGCAAAGGAAGTATCACTCCATGAGCTGAATGCCACCTTGACCCTTCCTATTTCAGTACCTCTTTAACTGTCAAGTACTAGAGAAATACCTGATGGTTAGGAATGACTGTTCAACCTCTTAACTTTGCGGAGGCTGAACGTGTGTAATTAAGTCTTTCTCTGAAGCGTTTGATTTAAAATGGGACTTGCTGCTCTCCCCAGAACTTCCTCGCTCCTGAAAACGTGTTGCAAAATGTTGTTTCTCTTTCCCCTTTCTCCTTTCTGGGGGTTTCTAGACTCTCCTTGGCATTAGTTATGGTCCCAGCGCAAACTTGGTGAAGCGCAGAACCAGCCACGGAAGCGTTTTCAGTTTCCGACTCCGTGGCAGAGACACTTGCTCCGAAACAGATTTTGCCGATGATGAGATCAGCATCGCTGGGGAAAATGAAAGCCACCGGGGCTCTCTCTTAATTCCAAGATCTGGGAGACGTCCAAGCGTGCAAAGTCAAGTGAGCCATAGTTCTCACCCTACTACTCCCAACTACACCCAGACGGGCAAAAGGAACAGCTCAGTGGATTGCAATGGTGTGGTTTCCCTGATAGGAGGAGGCATCGGGGCACTCAACCCAGACCCTACTTCTCCTGCAGGGTTACTGCTCCCCCCAGTTATTTTGGAAAAGCCTGGAACAGGTGACCTGGTGAGTACTTTATAACTTTTGTATATGATTTGAACTCTTGTTTCCTTCTAAATGTTGTTGGAGTTTGCTGTAATTTATTTATACAATATGGAGTCTTCAGGGAGAAACCCAGGCCCACCATTCCAGGCAGGGTGGGAAGACAAGGGGCTCACTCACTCAGTAATGTGTGTCTAATGCCACATCAGAGAGGTTCATACCTTCTGGTGAGACTTACTCTTCAGAGCTGGCTGGAGGCAAATACCTAAATCTTGGGCTTGACATGAATTTTCTTTACTTGAAGGGACATTTTTAAAATTGGTTTCTTTTGACTTTTGAATAGCTGACGTTGTCTGGTGGATAGAAAATTATGTTTTTTAAATGTTTGGGTGTGTCTTACCATCTTGAGACTGTGTTTTCTCTCACTGGTTGCTCTCTGTTCGCATCTGACCTCTGGTCATCTGTCGGGCCACTTGTGGAGGGTTTTTTCTACAGTCCAAAGGTTCTTCCCAGAAGGGTTTAGCATCCAATTCAAATAACACCTAGGAAATATGAGCAGATGATCAACAGACTTCAGGCCTTTTGGAGATTGCCAGAATCCTTGTTACAAAGCACTACTGCTGGGAAGCTTTTAGTAAAACTGTGAACACAATCATAAAGACTGGTACCATTAGGAGACCCAAGAACAAATTCACTTGGAAAACCATGAGATGCTTTTTTTGGAAATAGCTACTACACAGGCAGAGTAATTTGGACAGGTTGCTAGTTTGAGATGGTGGGAATTTATCTCTTTTTATGTAGTCCACATTGAAGCTCATCACTCTTTAAACAGTCTTTAAAGCAGCGGAGGTCTCTACCATAGTCAGTGTGTGCAAGATTTATTCCATCTTAGTGATCAAAAATGGATCAGAATAATCTCTCTCCCTGAAAGTGCCTCTTTCTGTTCACTTTAGCCACATGCCTTAAGTCAGGTGAGATAAAGCCCACTCAGAGTAACAAGGTGCCAAAAACAGGTTACACTGGTGGGGGAAAAAAAAGCTAATGTGATTATAACATGTATTAGGCAAGGTACCTCCTAAAGAGAAAGGTGAGTGAGATGGATCCCAGCCGTGGTGTCAGATTATCAGTAAATTGGGAAGTAGCTTTTTTCTTTAGAGCCAAGCAGCTTCTTTTCTTTCAAGCTTAGGACTGATGTTTTTTTCTTCACCTATCTGGGCATTCCCTGTAGTCCTGCAAATAGACTCTCACACCGTACATGAGAGGAGGGGCCATGCTGTGCGTGGGAAACTGGTTGGTGTGAGAATTATCTGTTATGTTGACAGTTTTGAGGCTCTTGCTGCTTTTTTGGATGTTCACACCTTAGTTCATTTAGGACTTTGGTAATCCCACTTTTATTCTCTGTGGACAAGGACAACCAGTCCTGAGACAAGTCTCTAGACAGCTGAGCAGCAGAAACACTCTTTGTAGATAAAGAAGTTTTATTGGATTTAGCTTGGTGCAAAAAACCCCAACCTGCTGTGTATTAAAGGAATTGGGGAAGAAAGTTTGTACATCTGTTTAAAAAAAAAATAAATCTGAACCAGAGTCAAAAGACCTCAGTAGATGAGTAGAGGATGTCCCCCTTTTCTCTGTAAGGAAAGCAGCTCTGCAGGTTGCTGAGGCTGTCCCAGCTGTCAGAAAAAACTTAGCAAAGCATGAGAGCACTCAACCTTTCACAGAAAATATCAGTATTTTATGCGATTGGGTCCTGAGGTGACAGGGAGGCTTTAAGCTCTGCTGGCATTTATTCTCATTTGTCGGCTTCCTGCCTTTAAAAAAAAATTAGATGTTGGAAATGGAATGGCCCAGGTGGGTGAGCTCACTTGGCAGTTCCCTGGACACCTAGGAAATAACGCCCAGGCTCTATAGTGACAGATGCTCATTCAGCGATGCGATGTGAAGGATGTTGTGTCTTCTGGAAAACAGGTTTGGTATCTAATCTATCCAGAATATGTGAGCTGGAGTTAAAAGCTAATTGGCAAGAAGCCCATTGCTGTACAGATGTATTCACTACAGGAATCATAAGTGCTGGGCACAAACGTGCAGCCTCAGCTGTGGCACAGGCAAAAAGAAATAGCAAATCCAGCACCTCAGTGTGCCTGGAGGTAAATCTGGTTGTTTCTGGACTTTGTGTTGGATTATTTTCACCTTTTTCGTGGTAAAATTTGAAGTTGAATTTGTTCTCTTTAGCAGATCTGGCTTCTCTTTATATTTTCTTGATACGTTTGGGGAAGTAAAAAAAGACATTGCAGGGTGAAGTTGCAGTTACCTCATTAACCCCACTGACCCTTCTACTGTTATTTATTTTGAATGAGAGTGAGCCCATGGTGAAAAAAGGACCCACTTGGGCCATCTGTTGTATCTTTCATGAACAAGAAATAAAGGTCCAGTCCATGAAAAGGCATCACTGTAATATGGGTCAAGCCCTGCTTGCAGCTTCCTGAGGTGTAAGTGTGGATTCAGTCATGCAAACACAATGTCTGGGTTGATGGAGCTGAAAAAACAGGATTTACAGCATTAGGTTTTGAGAATGCATTTGTTTAGGTCACTCTGCGATGCTCAGTAGTATCAGTCCAATTGTTGCTAAGTGGGGAGATCACTGAATTCTGGTTTGGGGAAAGCTCAGAAGAGCACTTCTGATTTAAAAGGCAGAGTAAATATTGAAGAAGGTCTGACCATCTCTGGTTTTAAGTTTCTGAACTTCAACCCTTAAGTAGACCATAGCTGTAGCAAATGATTTCAAAGTGGGCCTTCCTAAGGTTTCTCAGGGAAAGCACAGTCACCAGCCACTCTTAAGCATTTTAGCCTGACCAGTTTTAGCAATATTCAGCCTGAAGAGTTTACCCCAGGCAAAGTGTTTGACACCACAATGCACAACTTCCATGTCTTTGTGTCATTGCAACTGCTGCCCCCTGTCCCAGCCAAGGGCTATTTGCCCACAGGAGTGGCTGCAGGTGGTAGCTGAGCTGACATGAAAGCATCTGTGCAACTTCTGCCCTCTCCCACAAGAGAGGTGGCTGCAGCAGCTTATCCCACTACTCAGGCTGGTGACTCACATGACTGGTGTCCTGACACTTGGCTGCAGAAGAGCAACTGAGCTAAGCAAAAGTTTGAAAGTGGCTCTTCATATGGCCCTGGCTGCCTGGCACAGATGTGTGTTTCAATGAGAAACCAAGTGTGCTTGCACTTTCCATCTCCTTCCCCTAATCCCTAAATTCAGCTAGTGAAACAGGAGAAATTTCATATCATCTCCATGGATGGTGCTCAGGCCCATCAGTGCTGTCAGCAGGGGCAGTCTGACCGGTCAGCAGGTTTGCTGGCCTTGGGCAGCACAGTCTGTTCAGAGTGGCATCTGCTCATGAAGTCTTCTGCATCAAAGTGGCTTCAAGTGCACAGCCTGAGCCAGAGGAGGGGCATCCTACCCTCTGCAGGGAACCTGTGCATGTCTACACACTTTTCTACACCCACTGGTGTTCCCTTGGCACAGAAGAGCACATGCAAGGAGTGGTGGCATCATTGCTGAGGAGCTGCCCTTGGCAGCACAGGGGGTTCGCTGCAGTGCTCAAGACAGAGAGCCCACAGAGGTCACATGAAGAGCAAAGTGGTGCAATGTGAAGTGTAGTCTGCAAAAACCCTTCACAAAGGCAGCCCTGGGTCAGGCAGTCATCAGCTCGATGTGAAGAGTGACGGGTGTTCAAGTCTGAGGGGTGCTGGGAGCTTGTCCCAAGAAACCCATGGTTAAGTCCTAGTCACTGTCCTGGAATTCTCCAGTGTATCCTGCAGAAGACTCAGTCAGGGCTGCCCTGTTCTCCTACCAGCTTTATTCAAGTGGTCCAGCTGCTGATTTCATCAGACTTACCCCAGTGTAAATAAGACACGAGCAGACCTGGAGACTGTACCTAAGTCCTAATTCTTTTTGGCTTGACCAGAGACTGAGGGGCTTGAAAAATGGTATGTTTTTTTATGCTCGTGCTGATTGCTGGGTGGGATTTTTGGCTATTACTTTATTTAGAGAAGGTCTATGCATTATGTAAGTGACTTCAGGGCACAATCCAACCAAAAGTTTCTGCCCATTCCTGCAGTATTTATTTGTAGCTTTGTATTGCTCTGTTGTGTCGTGGTGTTTCTTAGTTAGGAGGTTAGAATAACATCTCCCTTCACAAGGTATTGATATGCTTCACCAGAATTGGATTTAGTTAATGAGCTGTTACCTGGAGCTCAATTTATTCATGGGATCTGATGAGGTTAAATAAGATATCACTTACTGTTGTTAAGAACCTCTTGAGGGTTAATAAACACTCATGACAGCATCCCCTCTTGCCTCCTAAACCAGCTGGAGCCCTTCCTGTAACAGTGCAAGGAAATCATGAGGTTTTAGTTTAACCTGACTTTCCAATTATTCTGAAGTGGAAGAGAAATGGGCGCAGGACTAAGGAGGTGGTGGTTTGCAAATAGGCTGTTAGCTGATGGTCCCCATTGCTTTGCTCTTCCTGGGGTGCCTGCTCACCAGATCTTCCCATCAGTCCAGGAGCAGAGTGGGACAACCTGTGGTGTGGCTTTGGGATGGGCCACGAGGCCAAGGCTGGAGCCACACAGAGTCTCCCTCTTGTAGATATAACCTTTCCTGAATTTCCTCTTGGTAACACTCATGGTTTTTTTTTTTAAGAAGCTAGAAATGCTGAGCACTGCTAGATTGGCAGGAGTGAAAACTACTGGGGGGTGAGCCCTTGAGAAAGGTCAGGCTATTTATTGAGAGGCTGAACTAAAAATTTAGAAGTTTACCTTCGGAAAAACTTTTTTTGATGATTTTATTTTAAAAGAAAAACAAAAAAGAAAAACAAAAGACCTTGGCTTTTGTTGCAACTAAGCATAAAAGGCTTTTGCTGACCACATTGCTTCGAGGTTTTCTTGTTGACCCTAAAACCACCCCGAGGTAAAATTTCTTTTTTTCCCTTCTTGCTTTGCCACAGGACTGGTAAAAAGGGAAAATGTTAGCAGTTTCCATGTTCAGAAATAAAGGTCAACAAAACAAGTCATCCAAAAATCACTACCAATAAGTTATAGGGATGAAAGCTACCCAGCCCCCTGCCGCTGTCACAAAGAATTGTCACCATGACTCTAGCTACTGCTCATTTCAAACTTTGCTTTAGCACACCCTGAGTGTAAATCACTCAGATTCAGCACAAATATTTCAAGCTGCTCCAGTTTATCTCTTTAAATAACCGAGCATCCCCAAAATTAAATGGCTTCTTTTTAAAGTTGTGCTTTATCGTGGTCACCTCCAATTTCATTAAGTATTTGTGCTAGTGCCTTACAGAATCCATTGTTCGTGGTATGGCCTGTTCACCTCTTTTTATGCTTGAAAAAAATTTTAAACCTGCCCCAGTTCCCAAATATGGTCTTTAAAAATGCTGCCATGTATAAGCCCATCTTCACATAATAGTTTTGACATAGCTCAGAACTGTAGGCAGTGAGAAGGAAACAATTCTGTTGTGCATCCTCATTTACATGTAAATTACTGAATAGTATATTTGTCCCTATAGAATTTAGCTAATCCAAAGGAGAAACATTTCTAGTCAATCAAGGAGCAACAAATAATCTTGTCCTGCTGGAGCTGCCTATGTTTAACTCCACTGTGATTTCTCCTCTGGATCCTAAGGAGCCTCCTTGCATAACTGTAGGGACTGCTGTTATTTTTGTTTAATTCCTATAGAAATATAAGTACAATGAGCAACTGTGCCTATGTATTTTCTCTCAGGGGTGATAATAGCCTTTATGTTGCCTGTTTGTCCAGTTCCTGGAACTGCTTTCTGTCTCAGAATGCAAAAACTACCAGTTCCTTGCTAGCTATTAGCCATCTCTGTTCTAAAATAAATAGTAATAAAGAAACCTAACCCTCCCTCACATAGAACAAAAGCTCATAAACTTCTTTAAGTAACTTCAATAATTTTAAGCAATTCACCTGCATGGAAGCTTTCTTTCCTGGACAAATACTTCCCAGTAAGTGGCAAGGTGACTATGTGATAGGCTTGCTGCTCTATTGGGAAAGAGAACACAGGAGTATTCCTTGTCCCTGACGTTACCTGCCACACACTGTGTCCTGGCTCTAGGGATTAGATGACCCACTGCCAAGGGGCTGGCAGGGAACAGGGTCTTTGGGCTCTGCACACACTGCTGGGCGAGTGGGTGGCTGTCACATGTGGTACCCTTTGCACTGAATGTGGGCCAGCAGCAAATTGCACCCCCTCACCTCTCCAGAGAGGGGAGAAGGAAGGGGGCATTCTCACTTCCTTCAGAAACACTCTTTGCACGTGAAGGATGGCACACTGCATACAGTCCCCTCGACTCCAGAAGGACCTCTGAAGTCTTGGGGACCACTTCTAGGTGGCAGGATTGAGACTGCTGGGCTGGAAAGACAAATAGAGTGACTTGAAGAACTTGTGGAGTGGGGATTATCGCATCAAACCTAGGGGAAAAGACAGTTCACTGCTAATTTTTTTAATGTAAGATGTGCCAAACCTGTTTGACTTGGACTTTTCATTTACCCTGGTTTAGCTGAATCAAAAAAAAATAGGAAGAATGAATCCCTGAATGTTTTTGCTTTGATTTTTTACCTCTTTGCACCTGTGAGTAAAAGGTGGCTTTCAGGTAAAGGACTTCTGAGGATGGGATTGTCTGATGACATGTTACTGGTCACAAAGGGTGGGAAGATAGTACGGTTTAAAAAGTTAGATAATCTAGAGGAATTTGAAATTTGAGGGGTTTGTATGTTTTATTCTACAGACAGAGAAGTTGTGGGTTTACTTTTGGGGTTTTGTTGGGTTTGGTTATTTTATTTTCTTTGTTTTTACTTTTTTTATTTTATTCTACTTAGAAACTTCTCCCTCGTGTTTTTTTATCGCCTTGTCTAGTTATTTCTTTTTGGTACCATGTATTTGTTATGTATTCCAAACTACTGTGAATGATTATGCAATTTTGTAGATGCTTTCTTCATTAATAAAACATTTGTTGTTTCTTTGCTTTTTATTGGATTTTTTTTTTTGAGGTGAAGGGAATCAAGCAAACTAATGCATCTGAAATACCATTCCTGGTTTCCCTGGCTCCTGAGCCAAGGATAGGGCGTTTTCTTTTTATGTTGTGTACAACTAGGACTCTCTTGGAAAAGTTTCTGATTATAACTTCCCTTTTGAGATGACTTTGTCAGTAACTCAATGAACAATGAGTTAATTGTAAAAAAAAACAACAAACAACCAAACAAAAAACCAAAAACAACAAACGACATTTTAGGGAAAAAAAGAAAAAAAAAAACAACCAAAACCATTTTGAAACATTACTGCTTTCCTGGCCCTGCTAATGTTTTAAGTGCTTACTTTGAAAGTCCTTACCCTTCTCTAGCCTTGCAGTGATTGGTATTTTTAACTGCAGTACTTTGAAGTGGCCTGGGACCAGCATCCTGCTTATTGTTTTCGGTGTCAACCTGTGGCAAAGCATCTTTGCCCTTTGCAATCATCTGATAAGGGGATGTCCCCTACCCTGAAGAGGTCACACTGCAGAAAGACAACTTGTAGAGCTTCAGCACTTTTTTCCTGCCGTTCCCACGGAAGTGCCTTTCTTGAAGAGCAGTTTTGCTACAGAAATGGTGAAGAGGAGGGATCCTGAATCCCTCTGGGTACATGTGCTGGGAGCAGCTGTAGAGCCACTGCACATGGTACATCTCAGTTGGCATCTTGGGTTCTGATGAGGGTGGTTAGGGCCAATTCAGACCCAAGTGATGAGAAGATCCAGAATATTGGATCAGATTCCTGTAGCTCATTTGACTATGGAGAAGCAAAATCAGCTACTCTGACGTCTGTATAAACTGGGGACTCTCACCTTTGTAGGAATTTCTTCTCCTTCCACATTTCCCTGAGCAGTATTGCAAGAGCCATCAGGATCCATCTTCTACATCTGTCTTGCTTACACAGTATCTCGGACCTCACAGCCTGTGTGCTTGGAGGAGCAGGGCAGAGGCTTTAAATATTTATTTTGGGAAACTGAGTGTCTCAACCAGAAGGTCTGTGACAGAGAATGACGTTGAGCCTGGCTTTCCCAGATCCTTACACTTCAACCACCACTTTTCCTTCCACCTGTGTGAGATCTGGAGGAGTAAACCAAGTGGGATTTGTCTCTATATGAAGTGGGAGCTCGTAATAATAAAAGTCTTAATATCTTGCTCCTGTGAGCTGACAATATAAAGTATTTAATACAATGTGTGTCTGCGGCTTTACTGTGCTTCTGTCTGACATCAAAAACCCAAGCCTACAAAAAGTGCAAAACTAATTTAAAATGAGACATTAAGCAAAGACAGTTTGGGAGTTTTGTTTTCCTGGTATTTGATTTCTTTAGGATTTTTTTTAATCTTTTCCTTGAGAAGCATGAGAACAAGAAAGTTAGGTTATTTTCTTTTTCCTGAGAAAAATGAAGCTAAATTTCTCCCCTAATTATGTAGCTTCGGAGTCCATAACACCAAAGATCACTAGAATGACAATATGTTCCTGAGACTTGGCAGTGTTTCAGAACAAGAAAAAACATGTGTTGAGGAGTCAGTTTGCTTGGTATGATATCAGAGATCTGTAATAGAGCTGTTACTCATGCCCTTTTCCTCTTCTAGCTGTATAATTAAACAGTTAACACATTTCAGAAATAATGGAATAATTAATGTAATTAAGCAGGGCTTTTTTCACAAGCAAAGAGCATGGTAAAGCAGCACTGATATTTCTCTGGCATCAGAAGTGTTCCTTTATTTTCACCCACAGTTTACAGGAAGGTAAAGGGCAGAACAACGTTTCCAAAATTGCTCAAAGTGCCATTTTCAAAAGCTGTACCCCATCAGCATGTCAGTGACAAGTCAGTGAGCTTTGGGCTCTTCAGATGGGAAAAATAGCGCTTAGGCAGTTTTGAAATTGCTACTCTCTGTCTGCCTTGGTTTTACTCTGCTGATCCAATGTGTTCCTTTACACAGACCTCTCCCTCGGACGAGGCGAGCAAGAAACAGCTTTTAATGCCCCACCGCCCCTCCGTGGACCACTCGGACGAGCCCTTTCAGAGGCAGAGGGCAGTGAGTGCTGTCAGCATCATCACCAGTGCCCTGGAAGGTAAGAGACATCCTCAGCTCCCCAGCTCAAAGCCATGTCCACGTTAAATGGCAGAGAAAAGGTGACGCGAAACGCCCTGATATTAAACCCTCGTTGTTTTGAAAGAAGGCACTAAAGATAGTTGTTACAACCCCCATAACAGAGGCAGGGCTGTAACAGAAGGCAGTATAGTCCCTATCTTAACCATGGACTTGTAGAAGCCCTGAGAAAATGCTTGTGGTGTAATCAAAATGGGAGCTGGTAAGATTTTGTGCCCCCGTGGCATTAGGTTTACACAGGGCTCACCAAGGTGCAGGGCAGTGGAACACCAGATTGTTTGGGTGACTGTACATATATTTACATCTCGTCTCCCTGGGGCTGATGGAAAGCCTGGCATGTGCAGTCACCAGCTACATGCAGAACATCCAAGCTGTGGGAGAGGAAAGTTCTCATGCAACAGGGACACAACAGTGTGGTGGGTGCTTGAACCCCACCGTGAAATTTAAAGGTGCTCAAAGGACCCTTTTAACCACGCAAATATTTCTCAACAAATTTTTCTGTTGCTCATGAGTCGTCCCATGAGGTGCAGAAGAATTTCCCTTCTCTGTCTTCCCACAGACAGGGACTTTGCATTTCCCTCTCACAAATTTATTGATATAGCAAGACAACTCATAGCAAGCCCTCACATTCTTGGGCTCTTTACATGCAGCATGAAAGGGCTTCCTGCAGTTCCTTGTGTCTCCTGCATTGCAAATTGAGACAAGACAGGAGGTAGCACCTAAGAGCACAGAAAAATGTCTGTCAAGAACACAGTGTGGAGCAAGGGAAGTTGTGGATTCTCCTGCAGCTTGATTCTCTGTGTGACTGATGAATAGGAAGGCAAGGCAAGGCAGAGGGACTTAGATAAGAGATGCCTTACAGACAGGAACTGGACATATCTCCTGGAGATAGACCAGCATGAAACCACAAAGCCCTTCTTCTTCCTCAGCTTTTTACCTTCTCCCATGGTTGTATGCACCAATATTGTGGCCAGAAGATATATTTATGTTTACATAAATATAGGGTTGTATTCTTAATAGGGAAATAATCACTTCAGTGTACTCCAGTGTTTAATGTAGTCTGCAAAGGTTTTATTTGTTTCCTGTGGGGTTTTTAGCAATTACCTTTGTGATTGATTTGCTATTTTTTTGTAATGTGTTAAGAATGCCTAAAAGACCTGAGCTGGAATTCTTATTTATTTGATGGTACTCTCTATTCTTTTATACCACAGAAATAGGGACCATGAAGTCTAGGGTAACTCAGAGCATGTGACATTCAGGGACATGGTTTAGTGGTGGACTTGGCAGTGCTACATTAGTGGTTGTACTCAATTACCTTAGAGGTATTTTCCAACATAAATGATTCTATGATCCTATATAGAAGAAAATTGTTTCAATCCTTATCAAAGGTCTCCTAACTCCTAGATTTTGTTAGTCACTGAAATTGAATAGGGGCTTGTGTCGAGTGGAACCTCAGAGAAAAGAGTCACTCATCTGATGTGTGTCCATCATGAAGGTCCCCAAATTAAAAACAGTGGAATAAGTAGGGTTGGGTAGGCATACTATGAGGAATAAGGATGTAGATAGGTGTGTTCTAGATTAACCTGGAAAATTATAAATTATATCCTTTAGGAAGTGACCACCTTAAACTCTTCATTACTTTCAGAAGCAGGTTTAAAAAAAAAAAAAAAGCAAACTTATGATTTTGCATTCAGATTGATGGTTCTCTCATCATTTTAGGGTTTACCTGTAAGCCTTTTGTTTGGAGGCTGGAAAGACAGTTATTTCTTGGAAGCTATTTGGTTTCCCAAAGATCTCAGAGCAATGCAGATGTTTGTGCAAAACCTGTGCATGTAGGACATAATCTGATATTCTGAAAGCTTGCTGGAAGACACTTAATGCCACAGCTCTGTTACCTGATGAAAAAAAGTAGACAAAGAATCATAGAATCATTATGGTTGGAAAAGACCTCCAAGATCATCAAGTCCAACCATATACCCCCTGCCCACAAAGTACCACATCTACTCATTATTTGAACACTTCCAGGGATGGTGATTCCAGCACTTCCCTGGGATGCCTGTTTCTGTGCTTAACCACTATTTCAGTGAAGACATTTTTTCCTAATATCCCAACTGAACCTCCCCTGCCGCAGCTTGAGGTCATTTCCCCTTGTCCTGGATGGTTCCTGCCCTGGGAGAGGAGGCTGTTTATGAACTGATGGAAATAACAGCCTTGGCTGAAGTTTTCCTGTTATCAGTGCAGGTTCTAATTATATAGACTAAAACTGTTATACAGCATTCCATGCCCATAAAGGAATCAGAAAAGGAAAGCATTAGGCAATTCCACTAATCATTATCATTCAGCTATTAACTGTCTTTTTTGGCTTTTCTTTTCCATCATTTAACACAAATTGTACTTACGAAGCTATTTCAATTCTTTTGTCTGCAAGTAAAATGAGGATCTAAAAGTTGTATTATAGGTAGTATTTTAAAAGCATCTTTAAAAAGCACAGGGGAGTTTCAGTAGCATGTTCAAATGGGCTTATGAGGTTCCTGGTTTTGTATGTGGGCCTCAGAAAAATCAGATGTTTAACACCTGTTTGGATTGCACATCAAGAACAGAAGCTCTATTGATAGCCAGAGATACTCTCGTTCTCAAGTACTTAAATCAGCTCTAAATGTTGGATTAAGCTCTTTCATCTCTTAACTGCTTTAAAGGTATTACTTAAGATACTTTGAAAATGTGACCTGGGATGAAAAAATATATTCCAATCTAAGTTAAAGGAAGACAGTGTATTCTTATCCATTTGAACTTGGCAAAATGGAAAATTGAGTAAGAATCCAAGCCTATATATAATACTGGACTTAACATATTTAGTGTGATTCTCCCTTTTTGCTTGTGCACTTTTTAAAGAGGTTATTACTTTCAGAATAGGTCACTGTCTGCTAAGTGCAGGTCAACTGGCAAAAACCCCACAGTGTGTAATTTGCCAACCTGCTAGGACAGAAATATTTTTACCCTTAAAAAAATTTGGGGTAATTCATGGGCCTTCCTCTGTGTTATGAGTCATTTTAAGTGGTCTCTTGTCATATAACTCAGTGTGAATTGACTGTTACTTTGCTGCTTGTGACTTAGAGCTTGAGGAATCGCACCAGAAATGTCCTCCCTGCTGGAACCACTTTGCTGTTAAATTCCTCATTTGGGATTGCTGCCCTCTTTGGCTTTTGATCAAGAAATTTGTCAAGTTTGTGGTAATGGACCCATTTACTGACCTCACCATCACTCTCTGCATTGTGCTGAACACGCTCTTCATGGCCCTGGAGCATTATAAGATGACGAAGGAGTTTGACCACATGCTTTACATAGGCAATTTGGTAAGTCACCCTGATCTCCAAGTGCTACCTGAGGAGTGTATTTCCTGCTTTTCAAAGTGTTGGCTGTGGCTTGGGAATACCCAGTGTTTTGACACACTGCCAGCATTGCTCTACCTATGACATATCAAGCAAGTCCACACGGGCACCTCTTTCTGGGGGTGAAGAGAATTGAATGAAGAACAAGGGTCTGTTTTTATCGAACTAACCTATTCTAATGTTATTAGTAAACATTAAAGCCGTGTTTCTGGGCTGTTCCTGATAAATATCTGTTTAGGGAAATGAGTTAAGAGAAAGGTTAATGAGCTTTATTTGGGATTTCTGGTAAAACAGTGATAAGACAGCAGTTCTTAGTGACTAACAGTGACTTTTAAGTACAAAAAGAAACCTACAGAAAAAAGCAAGGCAAGATCTTGGAAGGAAATAGAGTGGTGTTTGATCATGGGTTGATGTGTATGAAGGAAGAGGCCTATAGTACACTCTCTGTATGTCCCTGTATGCCCTACTGTGCCTTTCCAGAGGCATGTGTTGTGTCCTATGCAAACCCAGGGGCAAAGGGGACACGGAGCAAAGCATGGCTGATGCTTCGAGGGGAAACTCTTACTGTGCAAGCTGAAGCAGACGGGTGCAGAGCTGCAAAGCAAGCAGAGACCAAGGAAAAACAGAGTGACAGTCCACAGTCAAGCTGCAGGGACAGCATAAAAGCCTTTCCAGAGGCAATATGATACAATTTGTGACCCAGGGGTCCACTAAAATTCTGCAGTTACTACAAAAAAGAAGCTTTTTCTTTAATCATCTTTCTCCAAGTTATGTTTAAAAGTTACCTTGTGTTAATGCTTTAAAACTTGACTTTTAAAATCCTTTTAATTTTAGAAGAATCTGAATTGGAAAAGGCACAAGCCATCTAGCTATGGCGTGGTGGAGTTGCCCCTAAAATGTAGTGGTAGCAGCAGAGATATCCTATAGGACCACAAGTAATCTGGAGAGTCTGGAATGTGGATGCTGCTAAGTTTGCATTTGAGAAACTCACAGCAGAGATTAAAAAACCCCTTTATTTCTCTAAAATCAAAGGCTGCGGTGTCTCAAAACTGGATTCACATCACCTAGCTTTAGGTATTTACAGCATAGGAGTCTGCCTCTGTACCAGTTGCCTTTGTCTCCCTTTAAAGTCAGTGTAGAGTAATGGACAATTTTAAACCACATTAATGTGATGCCGTAAAGATATTTACTTTAGGATAAGGTGAACTATGGCCTGGAGGCCAGTGACTGTAGTAACCATCGACCATGGTGGGAATATGCAGAGACACTACAGATGTGATATTTGCCTTTAGTGAGATGCATTCTGTGCTGGCAAGTTTAGGTGGGTAGTAGCAGTAATCAGACATTTTGAATCAGTTCTAGAATATGTGACCTGTCACATATAGATTTTTTTCTTTATTTGGTCCTCTGGGCTTCCTTGTGCAGGTTGAGGTTATTCTCCTAGGCTGTGGGACTATTCTCCAGTTTTTCAGCTACTGTGTCTTGGCAAATCTTGCTCTGTTGTTGTCTAAGGAGAAATCTGTTTGGGTCTCTCTTGCCCTCTGCAGAAAGCAGTAGATAAGGACAGCTTGGAAAGTCATCTCACAGGACTGTACCCAGCTGCACTTTGCAGCCAACATTCCTTCTTGTTGCTCAACAATTTGTGGCCTTCTAAGATGACTTTAAAAAAAATTTCTTTGGACCCAGTGTCCACCAAAGCAGGTGGCAGTGCTGTCATTTCCCTCTCTGGCAGTCGGGATAGTCAAGGTGTCTGCTCTCCCTTGCAGACTACAGGCAGGGAAACTTTGGCATGGAATGCCCTTGGCATTCCTCCTGCCAACAAGACTCCTAATTTTTAGCAAAGAGAGAAATTTTGTAGAGAGACACATGGTTTGTTTTTGCTTATCTCTTTTTTTTTTTTCTTGGCAGGAGAAATTTTGCAAAGCAATTTCTGCAAAATTTTGCAAAAAAAAAAAAAAAGATAAATCTCACTGTGAGTTTCTCAGTGTTGCCTAGAGCCATTTCTGCTCTTTATTTTAAAGTGTAAAGTAAGCAAAACAGCCTGCCAGTATTTTTTGTAACAGGCTGATGGCTCAGGGCTCCCCTTCTTCTGAGGTCTGAGGTTGGGTCTGTGAGAAGCCAGACTGTGCCAGCTCACCCTCACCAGCTTTACTAAACCCCTGCATAACTGGACTGATTGTGAGTAGAGCAGGTCAGACAAAGGTAACTCCATTTTGTGGAGGATTTTGCAAAGTCATTTTTAATGAAAATTGACATTTTTTGCAATTCCCTATGAAAGGGAAGGGAGTCCCAGCCCCAGGGCAGGCTACCAGGTGACTGCATCCCCTAAGCTGCAGACTGCCAACCCCCCCTCAGCCCCCACACTGGCTGGCTGTCGCCTTCCTGTTGGATCTAACCCTCTCTAAGTGATTATTCTAGCATTAAACAGGGGAAATATTAAAGAGGACAGGTCTTTGGCATTTTTTTACTTGGAACAAATGCTTCTGAGTGAAATGAAAGAATGAGAGTGGAACATAAATTTGCTTTCTCTGGATCTGGCAGTCACTGGAGCTCTCCCACTCTGATTGTCCATCCGCTTCAGTCAGTATCTGCTACCTTCAGACTCCTTCAATTCATCACTTACAGGAATCAGCATTTTTAAGTGTCAGCAGAAGGCCAGCCAAGCACATGTGCCTTTTACATGCTTCATCTGCCCACACACCACCCAAAAAATTAGTAGATAGAGAGCAGATAGAGCAAGATTCCCTCAATTTTTGTTTTCCTTTTAGAAGCTGAAATACCTCTATGCAATATCAAAGCCTAAAAGGCTGAAATGATAGGTAAAAGATTTTTTTTTTTTTTAAGACAAAGTCCTCCAAATCAGCAGTGTCATATTTGGCACCAGTGGATGTTAAGCTACTTGTTTTCTCTCCAGCTTTCTCATATGACACATCCACATCCATCCTCTTGTGCAAGCTCAGCCGTCGTGTACCAGGTGTTGGCGGTTTGGCAACCACTGTTTGAAATCTGTAGCTGGTACACATACATGATTCCTGATGCCTCTAGGAAGGCCCAGACATTTTGCTACCTTGCTGTGACATTTCCTTCTCGGAAGGCTATTGATTAAAATGATTCAGGCAAAGAAAGTGATCCTCCTGAGTCATTTCTCAGCAAGACGGTTGCATAACGTGCAGAGTGGTATCGTAGTTTCTTAAGGCAGTCCCCTGGATACAATTTCACAGACATCCAGTTTTGTCTTGTTCTCTGTCCTAGGAAAATTGAGAGCATTATGGTGGGAGTCTTTGGTTTCTCTAACCACCGTGACTCAGAAATTGTTGGCTGGTTAGAAATATGAGACAGGTTGTTTGTTGCGTTCTTGGTATGAGGCGGTGATGGGAAGTTATGTCCCAAAGTATTGCTGCAATCCAAGGTATCATTTTCCTGATGAGAAAGAGAAGGTAATTTACATAAGGAATAGTGTAAAATGACCACTTGGAATAATTAATTCCAGAAGCATTAGAGAGTAAAGCCAAACATTCCTCAAATGCAGGCTATAATGATTTATTTTTATTCCTTAATGTCATAATTACATGACCTTAAGTTTTCCCTTTCCCATCTTAATGGGTGTCTTATCCCTGTTGCTCAGAGTTGATCAGTTCTGCTAGGCTAGTGCTGCAAATATTCAGCTGCTTGTAAGGAAAACATTTCTCCTTGACTGTATGTTAGTGATGCGTGAGCTCTGTATCCTCCCCTCTTTTTTGACCAAAAAAATGCATAAATGTTTATTGTTTCACAGAAAACCATGTACTGTACTAAATACATTTCCAGAAATTATCTGTTTCTGCAGATATATCTATTTCTGTTTCAGAAATATCAGAAATTCCAGAATTTTCCAGAAACACAAAGCTCTGTGCAGCTTGTACTAGGACTTGAAATGAAAATGAAACAGTATACGAAGAATGTGGTCCTCACATTTTGTCATTTTAAATTGACTGTAGCTTTGCATCGTGCATTTAAACTGTTACTTAAGGAGGGCATATAAAAGGACAAGATCTGGGATACTTTACACGAATGTGTTAAAACTGAATTTGTTGTCAGCAGCCTTCCTCCCCCCTCTCCCTCTGCCTCATAGGTAATATTTATATGCTGTTTTAAAGAAAAATGTTCCAATTAGAAGTTCCACCATATGACATTTGAACTGGGTCATAAATAACCAATGTGTTCCCAAGATGCAGTGAAAAGAAAATTGCCATGATTATTTAAAAAAAAAACCAAACAACAAAACAAACCAGGACTCAAATTAGAGTTTCTAATCGCCTTCGCTGCCAGCAATAACCTCAATAACTGGAGGCGTGAGTTGCCCTTCTATTGATAATAATAACAAAATAAAAAGGGATAATACAGGAGATACACTGCAACCCAAATAACCCTTAACACTCGCACTGAATTCACTCAGCTTTCTCCACTGATATGAATAGATTTAACCTTTATAAAAGGTACCTTTATACTTTCTTTTTTTTTACCACTGGGATTTTTCAGATGATGGAAGGAGGTAGAAATGTATATTCCAATCCAGAGCTTGAAGTCAGATGTCATTGTAACTTTACAGCAGCGTATTGTTGTGAAAAGAGAAGACAAAATTGTAATAGTGATAAAGAATCAGCCATGAAAAAGAAAGTATTTGTTTGTAAAAAATGTTTTTGACTTTCTACTGTGTTCACCTGCAGCAGTGGAAACTCTGCAAGCAAGGAGTTATGTTTAAAAGGTTACTTTGAATTCATATTTTTCTTTCTGCAGGTCTTCACTGGGATTTTCACAGCAGAAATGGTCTTCAAAGTAATTGCCCTTGACCCCTACTACTATTTTCAGCAAGGTTGGAATATTTTTGACAGCATAATTGTCATTCTAAGCCTGATGGAACTGGGTTTGTCCAGCATGGGAAACCTGTCTGTTTTACGCTCCTTTCGACTGGTAATGGTCTTATTCTGTTCTTACCCATATTATTACATATAAAGTCTGACATGAATGCTACTTGTTTTCTTAAAAACGCATCTGCCGATAATTGCTGCAAACTGGTGAACAGTACGTGACACTAATTATAGGCTGAGGGATAAATGGAATTGTTCCAGATTTACATTAGGGTAAATGAGAACATAATTTGATTCCTTCTAGCTGTGCCAGGTACTTGTAGCACACTTAAAATATTTGAATTCCAATTTGTAATAAAAATCTGCCGTTTTATACCCATACACCTGCTAGCATAGTCAGCAGATAATTGATAGCCCAAGAAATGCAAGAGCCAGTAACTTGTTGTTTTAGAAATTGTTATTCCTAAATTATGTTATAAACATGCTACTGTTCTTTTAGATGTTGTCAAAAGAAAGTGTCTTTGAATTATTCACAGAGTGATTTATTTTTTTTTTCTAGAACTGATCAGCATAACATAACACCTGTCTTTCACGGGAACTCCTTAGCTGTCAACTCTTTTGTTAGGCACAGGATAGTGGTGTTCTATTAATGAGAGACTGGTGACATTTTGGAAGAGAAAAGTACTTTCCTTGCCAGCCTGACATTTGTGTTGCACTTCGTGTACCAGGATGTCCATGCTAATCATTCTGGCCATGATATGGCTTCACAATTTTAAAGACCAGGAAAACAAGCCCTTATGGTTACATTTAGCAGAAGAATTAATTTTTTTTTTCCAAAATTCTTTGCTCTGCTCAAAAATACAAATTTTCCATCTCTGTCCTAAGTGTCTCCTTTCAGTTTTTGAGCAAGCCCTCTTCAATAAGGCTGATATTCAACCTTCACTTGAAAACAGAGCACAAGGGCTAGGCACCATTTACATCCTTAAAATAGGTCTTAAGTGGGACGTGGGTTGAGCACAGACTGCGTGAGCCTTGGCACAGAGGTGATTTTCACCCTGGGAGCTAACAACTAGTAGCATCTGGCTGAGGCTTGCTCTGAAACACAGAGGAATTCCTTCTCTCTCTGTGGGATCAAACCCTAAACTCCTTCCTCCAGATGCCTGCCAGGCTGTTTAATTTGAGGAGGAAAAGGAGGAAAAGCAACATGAAAGAAAATATTAAGATGTGTATTTTGTTCTTCCATCCCACCCCCACCGTGGTAGTTGAGGAATGCGCCTCTAAGAACTTTTTTGTCCAACCAGGCAGAGCATAGCTCTGGAACACTTAATGCTCATCCTAGAAGCCCAGCTGATATTTTATTAATAGACGTAATGGGGTTAACAGGAAGTATGGCTAAAATCACCCTGTACCGCACACACTGTGGCATTTAACATCTTTCACGTTTTGCCCACTTTAATAATTCATTGGCTGAAATGCCTGTTGCTTCTGTGAACTGACACTGTTGTTTGTGTTCTGTTCACAGCTGCGGGTCTTCAAGTTGGCGAAGTCCTGGCCGACCTTAAACACGCTCATTAAAATCATTGGTAACTCAGTGGGTGCCCTCGGTAACCTCACGCTCGTGCTGGCAATCATCGTCTTTATTTTCGCCGTGGTAGGGATGCAGCTTTTTGGGAAAAGCTACTTGGACAACGTGAAGAAGATAAGCAAGACTGGCAATTTGCCACGGTGGCACATGAACGATTTCTTCCACTCGTTCCTCATCATCTTCCGGATTTTGTGTGGAGAGTGGATCGAGACCATGTGGGACTGTATGGAAGTAGCTGGGCAGCCACTGTGCCTTCTTGTCTTCTTGTTGGTCATGGTGATAGGAAACCTGGTGGTGAGTTCTCAAGATGTTGGGGTTTTTTCTTCCTTTCCTGATGGGTGTGTGAAAATGTACCATTTTTTAACCCAGAAATGGCAAATCTCACGTCGCTCCATGACTTTAATTTGATGAACCAAGTTGTCACCCAGAGAAACTTGTTCCTATCCCAAATACAAAATTGCTAACATTGCATTAGTCATAGGGAATGAGGGCTTGCTGCTTTTTTTAGAACATATAGTTTTTTACCAGAAGTAAGTCGCTTGGGCTGGTTATAATGATTTTATTTCTTGGGCCATTCATGGGGATGAAAAGATTCAAGATCTCTTTTCTATACAGGTGTGAATATCACCTCAACTGTCACTGTTTTGTGACATATTTTATTTCCCTTCATTTTTAGTCCAGAACACGTGAACCTTACAGACAGCACAGTGTCTTTGACTGGAGTTTCAAATGTCTTTAGCCTGCACGTTCTAGGAAGCTACAGGTTGTGTTTACTGTAATGTCACTGGCTTGCCTGCTTTTTTTAATAGACTACCCCATAAGCATGGCTTACATAAGCTCTGAACCTATTAAGACTGAATTATATTTCCCTGTTGACATCTTAAGGAGCGCTTTGCTGGCTTTCAGTCATTGTGGAAATGTTTCTGCTGTTCAGCTTACAGAGCATCTTTGACATTGTGGCTCTAATGGCCTTACTGTTTATGTAGCGAGTTGTTTAACAGTAGATGCTGCTATAAAAAACATGGGGTTTTGCTGCTGATTGCTTTTAGTGGTTATTTTGCTTTTAAGTACGCGATGTTTTGGTTCTCAGCTGCTGGGATAAAAAAGTTCTTGAACGAGTTTATAGAAAAACAGTGTGCTCTTTTGTTTACATTAATTTATATTTTAGAAGTTATTTTTGTGCTGAAAATGTTGATTGCAAGGGCAAATTATATTTTTAAGGTGCTTTTTATTATAAAAATCGGAAGTTAAGCTGTGATTACTCAGAAAGTGGCAGATTACTTATGGTTTTTTTCCATAACTTACTGTTTTTATAATTTTTTCTTGGAATTAAATTTGATTAGAGGAGTTGGGGAAAAATGCTACTTTATTTAGAAAAAAATTATTTATTATATCTTCTGGGAGAGTTTAGCCAGAAATCCAGAAAGTTAATCTCCCCCTGCCATTAAGCAATGCATTCTGTGTATGATAATGAAAGCTGGAAATAATATGTGTTAAAATCCGGGGAAAATGTTAACATTTGAAATATTCATGGATTATTAAAAGATGTGAATTAGCAACATCTGATACCCTTAGATATTAACACTCATCAGTGTACATAAGTACTGTTAAATATGAAATCTGGTTCAGCAGAGACTGCAATAACATTATCTACATATATTTAACCTTCAGTGCTTGAAAAAGGCTGTCCCAGATGTAAAACCAGATATTGAAAAACTCTGTTAGCATGGATAAGCTGAAGTTATTAGTCAGGTGAAAGCAAAATGCTAGCTTTATTGTTTTCAGCCCACAGTTCTGTAAGGATGTGGCAAAGACCGGTAAATAGAAATGATTCTTGTGTGTGGGTCACTCAAAAAAGAAAAAAGAGAATGATTCATAGGTGATAAAAAGAACAGATTCTGAATCATGAGACTCATCCAGTGTTAACTGCGTTACATGGAGGTTTCATGATGTTGATTAGCAGGTAGAGAGGAGGTCATCTGACTCCTCTGGCATCAGCAAAATTCTTGCTTTCTTCAGTGAGGGTGGGTTGAACCTACTATTTCATTTATTTTCTGAACATCATCAGACCCAAAAATTCTGGTGTCTAAAAAGCACCATGAGCCCTTTCAAATAAGAATACTGGAGTGCTAAAACTTTTACCTGTAACACCATTGCGGTCTGTGCCAGCAAAGTTTCTCTTTTAACTTGCTGAGGTCCTTGTTCCTCCTCTGAGTTTCAAGAGCCAGTTCTGATAAAAAATATTATCCTGAGGCTGTATCTCATCTGGACCCTGAATGCTTCCATGGTCTCTGAAGGCATAGAGGAAATCCTACAGCATTTTCCCTGATGTAGCAGATCTGCACATTCATCTAGACTAAATACTTTTCTCTATCACATCTACGAGTACGTATGGTGGTGTCTGTACTCACTTTCCCAACAAGAAGGCCAAGTATTATGAAGCAGACCTGCTCTTGAACTCCTGTAAGGGCTGCAAACTGGTGATGAAAGTGTTACAAACCACTTTCAGATTCTGTGGCAGTTCAGTGATTCTGTTTGCAGGTCTTATCCAGCCTCACTAACATAAATTCAAAGGAATGGTGGAAGAAAATCTGGGAAAGTTAGTAACCACCCTGGGCAACATGATGTTATAGAGCAGCACAGCTGCTGAAAGGAATTTTAGTAAATCTTTAGTCTTTGGTTTGTATTCATATATCCTAAAAATGTCTTGGACAATTTGTGTGCAGTGCCACATGAAACTATATTTACTGCTGGTCAACTGATATATGAGTCATCTTCAAGGAACTAAACTTTACAACATAGTTGGAAAACTATGTGCTGTGGAACTTCTTTCACACAGTAAAACTGTGCTACTGTTGTCAGATGGCAGTTTAGAGTCATTGAAGCCGTTTTAGAAGGTAAAACCAAACCAGACAGATAATAAAAGTTTCTCCCTCATTTGTAAGAAAGATCTTCTGAAATAGCTGACTGAATAATTATGCTTACTGTTAAGTTTTATAAAGGCCTTAACATATCATGTGTATTTATGTTATTGAGGTTAATAAGGAAAATCACTGAGACAGGAATTATTAAGAAGATGTAGGAGAATTTGGGTCACAAGGCAGTTCCTGGTGGCCCCTGCTCGGGCAGGTCAGCCAGTGTCAGAGTCGATATGACATCAGCCACTTCTCAGGGGAGACTTGTGTGTAATGGGTGCAAACAACGTGCATGAATAAAACTGACACCTCAGTCACAGACAGAACAACCTCCAACCTCGCTCTGCGTGTGTGACATGCACTGGCCAAGCCACCCTTTTATTCTTCTGCCGGCCACACAGATGAAAATGTTTTCTACCAGCTTCTCCTGAAATGCCACCAAGTGAAGGACAGCTTGATGTGGCACAGAAATGTACCCACTGTCTTTGCTCATGCTCTGATCGAGCTGTGTCTGACAGAGAGCACCCAAAAAGCATCAGTCAGTGTTAACCCCAGCTAAGAGCTGCAGTGCATTAACTCACCCTCAGGGCTGAGTTCTGGACTGCCGTTGTCTCACCTCTATCTGATTCACATACACCCCAGTACTTCCATGGCACATCCACCACTGCTCCCCAGTTCACCACAACTGGTAAATCACTGCTGAATTTCCATGGTGGATTTTGTCTTACTGGAGTCACAAGCTTGCCAAGATGTAGAGTCTGTAACCAGGAAAGTGACATTTTCAGAATTTACCTGAAAAGTAAAATATAAGACTGGAATTGCTCCTTTAGCATCAGTCCTAGGCTTTCTTTTCCCCCCCCTACTGTCAATTCAGGAAAATATTAAAGCCTTTTTCTGAGAATACAATAGAAAGGTAGAAAGCATCACCAATTTCTAGGATATGAGGCTATCCTGTAGGCAGGATTGCATAACCATTATTGAATTAATGCATGATGCATGGAAATATGAAATATAAAGTGTAAGGTCATGCACTCAGCCCTATTTAAGAATTTATGTTATCATCAAGTAGCTTACCAGCAGAAATTGTATATGTATTAGTCACCATGGACATCTACATCTGCAATAATTGCATGGAGATGCCTTTGTAGTTAGATCTGGTTAATGGAGTGTATGAAGTCATAAAATATCTTACCACCCAAAAAATCTAAATGCATTGGATTAAATAACCCCTAAAACTACCTTTTACCCTCCCTGAAGTCTTAGGAGGAAAACTCAGGTGTAGAAATCCCCATGTGCATATCACTGGCTGACTGAGCCACTATGATGTACCAATACAGTGCACCCACTGAAAAAGTAAATGACATTCTAATTCATATTAGGAATACTAATCACAGAGGAAAAAAGAGAATCTGAATGCTATTGCACAGTGATCTGCAATGCTGCATATGCTATACATCCCACTGATGAATGACCCTCAAGAAAGATGAGGGTCTACCGGGAAAAGAACAGCATGGGAATATGAAGTTGAGGAGGGCAATGCAGAGCTAGGCATGGAAGAACAGTTTAAGTGACAGGATGCTGCTCATCCCAAACAAAGGAATGTAAATCACTGTGAATACCATTACTGGGACTGGAAAGGAGCCTTCTCATTATCAGTCTGGTGAGGTTGTTTGGGAGAACTTTCCAGCCCCAAGCCAGCAGTGTGTGAAATGGATTAGATGTTGAAAAAAACAACACATGTCAGCAGGGGACTTGCCTTGGTGACCCAAGAGGACCTTCCAATCCTGTGTCTCCCTATGGTAATTTCAGTGCCTGGCATGAGCGTGAGCTGCTCAGCATGGTTTGGATGAGATTTGAAGTGACCTGCTTTGGTTAAACTCAGTGAAAACTTTTCTCTGAAAAAGTCAGATGCAGCTGAAACCCATCTTTTTACTCTGCTTCCACATCTCAGGAAGCCTTAATGGATGTTTTTTCTGTTATAATTTGGCCCGTGACTGAGACATGCAGAAATATGAAAAGGTCACATTCTTGGAATGAAGGGGTTTGTCCCTCCCCACATGCCTTTCCATCAAGTCCATGTAGGACAGTTCCTTGAAGAGAGGAGGAGCTGGGTCCCATGTGCCTCCCTAATACCTTTTTTTTTCTTTGTTTGCTAGTGTTCCCTTTAGTTCAATGCGTGTGGTCAAGAAAACAGAACAAAAACCAAAGCAAAACAAACAAAAAAACATATAAAAGAGGCAGCTGTGATGTACAGCATATAAATATGTAAGACAGGGCTGCTGTTTGCATTGCATAGTCTTCAGCATGGGGGCTTTGCTTCTGTATAAAACCATTTCATAGAGTTAATTACAGACTGTTACTAAATGAACATCATGATCT